TCTCTATAATTTTTCCCTCATTGATCTTTACATGGAGTGAGTCAATAGATGTGAAGCTGGAAAAGCACAGCAGGTCAGATAGCCTCTGAAGATGAGGAAAATCAACGTTTCAGGCTGAAGCTCTTTGTCAGGACCTGACGGAGGATTTTGGCCCAAAACATTGACTTGCATGCTCCTCAGATGCTGTCTGACCTGCTGTGCTTTTCTAGCTTCACATCTATTGACTCTGGCTTCCAGCATCTGCGGTCCTTACTGTCTCCTGTTTATATGGAATGAGTCCAATTGGTTGAATCTGTGATGCTGGTGACCTCAGAAGGAGGCCAAGATGGGTCATCCACTCGGCAGTTGGGACTGAAGATTTTGGCAAATGCTTCTATCTTGTCTTTTGCGCTGATGAACTGGACTCCCTAGTCATTGAGAATATGAATATTTGTGGAACTACCTTCTCCATAAATTGTTTTATTGCCCACCATTTATGACTGAATGTCAGGACTGTGGAACTTAGATTTGACACATTGGGATCATTTATCTCTGTCAGTTGTGTGCTGCTTTGCATCATGTAGCCCTGTTGTAGCTTCACCAGGTTGAAGCTCATTTTTTAGGTATGCCTGGCACTGCTCCTGCTATGCCCTCCTGCACTCTTCATTGAACCAGCGTTTATCCCTTTGTTTGATGGTAATGGCAGAATGGGGGATATCTCAGACAATAAGTTTACCTATTGTAGTTGAATACAATCTGCTGGTGTGCTGACCCCCTCTCACAAGAATCGTCTTGAGTTGCTAGATTTGTTCAAAATCTAACCCATTCAGCACAATGGTGGTCCCACACAAGACAAAGTGAAAGCAGGACTTTGTCTCCACAAAGCCTGTGCTGTGGTTACTCCTATTAATACTCATGGTCAGAGGCATCTCCTATAGGTAGATCAATGAGGTTGAATTCAAGGACATTTTTTCCCTCTTCTTAGTTCCTTCACCACCTGCCGTGGGTCCAGTCTATTTGATATAAGTTATATATTTTGAGAAAACAATAAGGTATTTGTCCTCAAAGCTGAGTGCACAATGTGCTCTAAGTTACACATGTTTAAAAATATCAATATTCTGTACATCTGCAGCAGTCACAAAGAAAAATATTGATGACATTTACTCGGATTTATCTCAGTCAGTTTTGTTCCATGACGTGGAAATGCTAAATTGAAGGGAAGAAAAGAGACAGGTCTATTGTAGAGAATAACATAGCATGTGGCAAATAAAATGGACAAAACTCATCATCAATGATACAAGTATTCTATTTGATTGATACAGAATAACAAAAAGAGGAGGTAAAATTTAGTTGTGTTGCAATGTATTGATCCATATACTCGTAAACAAAGAACTTTAAATTGGCCAGCTGTGCCCAAACAATTTGCAGGAACATAATTATGCAAAAATGGACTCAGACAAAAGAGAAATTTGAAGTAGAAGTACTGAATCAGAGAGGTTTGAGTGGTGAATTTGTGAGTCAAATCCTAGAAGTTCAGTAGGGAAATAACCTCTTAATTGGGTCCAATAGTGTTTGAAGATTTTACAAGCAACCTAGACTTGGCTCTAAGGAACAGCACAATAAATTTTGTGGCTGATGTGGAAGTTGGTAAAATAATAGATCATTGATGATGATGGTTGTAGACTCCAGGATGACTTAGTTGGTGAAATGATGGCATGCTGAATGGAGTTAATTTTGAGGACTAATATGGAAGGAAAGTACACTATAATACACTATAAAGAGTGCATTTTGAACATGTAGACAACCAGAGATACATGGTTTCCATTCATTGGTGTCCATATACTCAAATACAGCCCAATTAAAGAGGAAGCATTGCTGGACCTGGTTCTTGTGAATGAGATGGGCCAACTGGATCAAGTGTCAGTGGGGGAACATTTAGGGGACAGCTATCATTGTAGCATGAGTTGGCTATGGAAAAGGAATAGGATCAATTTAGAATAAGAGTAATTTATTGGGTGAAAGTCAACTTCAACGTGAAAAGGAACAGAGTTAACATTTCTAGTCTAATAAGATTTCTTCAGAAAAAGAGTCATAATGGACTTGAAATGTTAACTCTATTTATCTCTCCAGATGCTGCCAGATTTGTTGAGTTTCTTCAGCATTTTGTGTTTGTTTCAGATTTCCAGCATTCACAGAATTTTGCTTTTATTTACATGGATAATTGGGAAAAGAATGGCTGATATGAGAAAAAATTTATTCATGCAGCAAGTGGTTAAGATCTGGAATGTACTGCTTGACTGTGTACTGGTGGCAGATTCAGTTGAAGCTTTCAAAGTGAATTAGATCATTATCTGAAAAGGAAACATTTGCAGGCCAGTGGCAAAGGCAGGGAAATGGAAGTACGTGAATTGTTCTTCACAATTGCAAATCAAACGTGATGGGCTGAATAGATTTCTGTGCTCTAATCATTCTATGATTTGATACATGTGAGAGGATCTGGATTTCACAGTTATTGGTAAAATGAGGGATGGTGAGATTAAGCAAGACAGTGGACTAAATGGTCTCCTACTGGGCTGTAATTTTATGATTCTGTGAATATAAGGATATTCATAACCAAATCCATGCCTCCTAAATGCCAAGGCATTAGAAATTTCTTACATGCTCACTATGGAAAGTTGCCATTTTTTAAATCCACTTTTGGTATATGGGCAATGCTGGCTGGCCAGCATTTATTGCCTATCCCTGGTTACCCTTAAGAAGGTGGTGGTGAACTGCTGTCATGAATGGCTGCAGTCCACATGCTGTAAGTAGATCCACAATGCCATCAGGGAAGGAATTCCAGGATTTTGATCAAGCAACACTGAAGGAATGGCGATATATTTCCAAGTCAAGATGGTGAGTAGCTTGGAGGGGAACTTGCAGGTAGTGGTGTTCCATGTATCTGCTGCCCTTCTAGATGAAAGTGGTTGTGCATTTGGAAGGTACTGTCTAAGGATCTTTGGTGAATTTCTGCAGTGCAACTTGTAAATAGTGCATACCACTGCTACTGAGCATTGGTGGTGGAGGGAGTCGATGTGGTGCCAATCAAATAGGCTGCTTTGACCTGGTGGTTTTAAGCTTCTTGAGTGTTGTTGGAGTTGCACGCATCCAGAGATGTAGACAGGCTTTGGGGAGTCAGGAGATGAGTTACTCGCCACAGTATTCCCAGCCTCTGACCTGCACTTATAGCCACTATGTTTGTGGTGAGTCCACTTGAGTTTCTGGTCAACGGTAATTCCCAGGATGTTGGAAGTGGGAGAATCAGTGATAGCAACACCATTGAAAGTCATGGGGTAGTGGTTAGATGCTCTCTTATTGGAAATGGTGATTGCCTGCCATTCGTGTGACGTGTTAATTGCTACTTGTCAGCCTAAGCCTGGATAATGTTCAGATCTTGTTACATTTGAACATGGACTGCTTCAGTATCTGAGGAGTTGTGAATGGTGCTGAATATTGTGCAACCATCGATGAGCATCCCCACTTCTGACCTTATGATGGAGGGAAGATCATTGATGAAGCAGCTGAAGAGCGTTGAGCCAAGGACACTATCCCGAGGAACTCAACAGAGATGTCCGGAGCTGAGCTGACAGACCTCTAACAACCACAACCATCTTCCTATGTACCAGGTATGCCTCCAATCAGTGGAGAGATTTCCTCCTGATTCCCATTGATTCTAGTCTTGCTAGGTCTCCTTGATGCCACACTTGGTCCAATGTGACTTTGATGTCAAGCATTGTCACTCTCCTCTAACCTCTAGAATTTAGCGCTTTGAACATGTTTGAACCAAAGCTATAATGAGGTCAGGAGCTGAGTGGTCCTGATAGAACCCAAGCTGGGTGTCAGTGAGCAGGTTGTTGCTAAGTAGGTGCTGCTTGATAGCACCATTGATGACACCTTCCATCACTTTCATTGATGATCGAGAATAGACTGATGGGGTGACAAATGGCTGGGTTGGATTTTTGTATGCAGGACACATTTGGGCAATGTTCCACATTGTTGGTGTAGATGCTAGTATTGTAATTGTATTGGAACAACTTGACTAGGATGGCGGCAAGTTCTGGAGCACAAGTGTTCAGAACTATTGTTGGAGCGTTGTCAGGAGATGTAGCTTTTGCATTGTCTAGTGCCTCCAAGCGTTTCTTGACATTGCATGGAGTGAATCAAATTGACTGATGACTGGCATCTGGACCTTTGGAGGAGCCCAAGATAGATGAGCCACTTGGCACTTCTGGCTGCAGATTGTTGTGAATGCTTCACCCCTGTCTTTTGCAATGATGTGCTGGATCTGCCATCATTAAGGATGGGGATGTTTGTGAAGCCTTCTCCTCAAGTGATTCATTTAAATGCTCTCTAATATTGTCAAATGGATGTGGCAGGACTGCAAAGCTTGTATTTGGTCCATTGGTTGTGGGATTGCTTAGCTCTGTCTGCCAATTGCTGCTTATGTTGTTTGGCACAAAATTAGTCCTATTTGGTACCTTCACCGGGTTGAGACCTCATTTTTGGATTTGCCCAGTGCTACTCCTGGTATGTCCTCTTGCACTCTCCATTGAATCAGGGTTGATCCTCTGGCTTGATGGTAATGGCCATCATTAATGCCAGGCCATGTGTGCAGATTGTGTTCATATATGATTCTGCTGCTGCTGTTGGCCCATAGCGCCTTTTGCATGTCCAGTCTTGAGTTACAAAATCTGTTTGAAGCCTGTCCCATTTAGCACGGTGACAGAGCCACACAACACTATAGTGGTTATTCTCAAAATGAAGTCAATACTTTATCTCCACAGGGCTGTGTTGTGGTCTCTCTTACCGATACTGTCATGGACAGGTGCATCTGCAGCAGGTGAGATTGGTGAGGATGTGTTCCTAACAGAGAGCAGAATTCTTTTGGAATGTAAGAGCTGGCACGAGGAGCTTGCAATCTCAAAAAAATTTATATAGTTATCAAGATTTTACTTAATGTGGATCCTACTTTTCTTCTTCAGGTTTCAGAATTATTACTTGCCATTGAAAGTTTAAGCAAGGGGCGGCTAAGGTCTTACATCGAACAGAAGCATGTGAAAGAAGAATCAGATCGGAAGAAGCTCCAGTTGTCCAATATGAAGATGTCTACTACAAATGAGAATCTGCTTATAAAAACAGCAAAATTACCAGAATATAACAATATTAGATGTGGTGCAGCAAAAACATTTGCAGCACACCCTCAACGAAGCATTTTTGAATGTAATATTGATGCAAAATCTCTTAAATGGAACATAGACACAAAATTGCAAGTTAATCAAAAAGGAAAGTTTGTATGTCATTGGCCCCAAAAGCCCAAATTTGATAATCGATTTGACCGAGGTATTGGTCCACCAAGGAAGAAAACTGTGCAATCATTTAATAGAGACGTTACACCTTCATCCTACTTAAAACCACTTCCACCAGAAAAATGTAGAAAACAAAGGCCAGCTGCTGAAAAGACTCGTCAAGTCAGAAACCCATGTCCAAATATCAAATCATTTCTAATTCGTTCCCGGATACAGAAGTCAACGTTAGCAGGTAAACTATAGCTATTGTTGTGGTTAATTCACCTTACACAGACCACACAGGTAAGCAGGTTACATTTGTGTTTATTCAAGCAACCTCCGTCTCAGACCAGCTAAACAGGATTCAAACTGATACTCTGTCCTAGCCCTGTCTTACATTTATCTGATGCATACAGAAAAACATCAAGATTTTTACCCCTACGATCTCATATGTCTAGATTGTTTACATTTCATTTTTGTACAATAAACAGAAATCTTCCATTCTAAGTCTTTCTCCTGTCTTGTCTATAGGAATCTGTTGATACTATCTAGTTTGCTGCCAAAGTTGAAACAGCCTTTAGGGTGTACAAGGTTCATCTCCAGTCTTTTCTGCTGGCATGGACCCTCAGGATGTATGCCTGCTAAAATGAGCCTTACAATACTAACCATCTTACTTCTGCTGGAACTCTTTTTCTTTAAAGTCATATTTAATTCCGACTACATTTCTATCCTTTTGGTCCTTAGCCTAGCCCAAGGTAGCCAATTTCAGTTATACTGTCCTTTCCCATTAAGTTCTGCAGCCCATTGATACTGAGTTCTGAGGAAAGGCCACTGGACCTGAAGCATTAACTTTGATTTCTGTCCATAGATACTGCCAGACCTGCTGAGCTTTTCCAGTATTTCTGTTTTTGATACTGGACAGGTATCCAGCTTGGCTTGTAAAGGTACTAAATCAAACCATATGTACTAGTGAGCCCTTGGTCTATTTTTTCCCAATTTTTTTTCAAGTTCAAGTTTGGTTACTTAATTTCTTGATTATATATTGTAGATAACGTACTGAGGCTAATAGAACTCTTAATATTTAAGCTTTGGACAGTTACTAAACATAAGCATTAGCCAACATATTCAACCAATGGATCTGAATGATGTTATATACCAACACTTTTTGGCTGGCCATGGTACATAGAATTAGAGCAGTAGATTACCCATGGACTTAAAAATTTCTTCAGCTCTCTCTTCACCTTTTAGATATCTTATGGATGTTTATTACATATTTTCCCTCTTTAGCTTTCGTTTGTTCCAACCCAAAATTATTTTTGCTTTAATTTTTAACCACTTTCACCAAGACTAGTTTTATTGTTTTAAAATCAGTTTCTCTATAGATTATGTGGCAATGCCTTATAATTTGAAATATGTTTACTGCTGTTCAATGCACAATAACCATTTTGTCAAGTAGGTGTACGTATCTGAAACCTGTTCTTCAATGCATTTTCACCATACATTCCGTTATGCCTGTTACTTCAGATGTAACAATCACTTCTGTATGATTGCACCATTATCCCAAGATCATGCCATGCATTCTTGTCTTTCAGGTGGTCTTTTCAAAAGACCAAAGCTTGGAAGGGGTAGTGGACATTGGGATTGTGTATCCCTACATATTCCCAATGTTTCAGTTGGTGAGCAAATCAATCAGTTCAGTTCTCTTTAAAAAAGATTAATGGGCAAGGGCATATATGTCTTCAAGAGCAAGCTGTCAATAATTAGTTTTGTCTACATTTTCCTTTAACTTGATATATCCCATTTAACTACACCTAAAAAGAGCAATTCCCAAACCTTCTGCCAAGGTGTCACTTTTTTCTCGTCACTATTCATCTGTTTTAAATGGGGTATCCCGTAAACTGCCAATCTAAAAGATTCAAGAACTCTGGAAATCCTTTATTGATTAATTTCAAAAAGTGTTTACCTAATATCTTTAAAATAGAAATCAAACATTACTGTGGGATTCCAGGCATTAAAAAAGTGTTTGTTCTTTGCTACAAAAAAAACATGCAATTTTCTAAAATAACTGGCTAGATTATCCTCATGTTACCTTCTTTGAAAATAATCCCAAATTCAAATCTGACAACAGACTCAAAGGTTTCTTTTGTGTACAGCCTCAGTGATGTTGTTGGATAGACAAATTTTGTTAGTGGTCAATTAATTTCTTCCCAAACAATATTTCCCATTTTTAAACACAAATTTAAACAAGTTATTTCGTCGATTTCAATTTCAGAAACAATTATGTCCAGCCTTGACATAGAGGTAGTTACAGAGATAGTGGATGCACTGGTTATAATTTTCCAAACATCCTTGGATTCTGAAGAAATACTTGAGGATTGGACTACTAATGTTACACCCCATTCAAAAAAGCAGAAACTATAGGCCGATTCAGACTAACATCCAGTGTTGGAATAAATTATTAAGGATTAATAACAGAATATTTGAAAATTCACAATCTAATCATGCAGTGTCAACATGGCTTATTGAAACAGAAATTATGTCTGACGAATTTATTTGATTTTTATGAAGAATTCTCCACCAAAGTGGTTAGAGGGGAACTAGTAGATGTGTTGTATTTGAACTTAAGGCATTTGACAAAGTACCTGACAAAAGGTTAAGTAATAAGACAAGAGCCCACGGTGTTGGAGATCATATATCGGTGTGGATAGAGAATTGGCTAATGGGCAAGAAA